GGATGTTGCATCGTCTGCCAAGTCTTCTGCTTTTGTAGGGAGTGATTTTCGTGTGCGAGTTTGGTACTAGTCCCTCTAGGATTTTCCAGGTGTATATAATCATGTATCTCTCCCGCCTGCATTCCAGGGAGTACAAGTTCAGGAACTTCAAGCGCTCCCAGTAATTGAGGTGTTTTATCTCAGTTATGCGCGCCGTGAAGGTTCTCTGTACATTTTCTAGGTCAGCAGTTTCACCTGCCTTGAAAGGTGCTGTTAGTGTGCAGCAATATTCCTGCCTAGATAGAACAAGTGACCTGAAGTGTGTCATCATGGGCTTGGCATCCCTAGTTTTGAAGGTTCTCATTATCCATCCTGTCATTTTTCTAGCAGATGCAATTGATGTTTATGTTGGTAATGCTGAATATTGTTGATGTGTGTGTTGGTGATGCTGAATATTGTTGATGGTTGACTCAGTTTTCATGCTGTGAAAACAAGATTATAGTTCAGCTCTTTATTGTACACCAGTATGTGACTCGTGTATTGCAGTGGTTGAATAACAGCTCCTGACTCCTGTGTGGACCAGAGAGTGTGTATGTGTATATGAGTATGTACGTACATACGTGCTTGAAAGTTACTTCTTTACTTACTCCTTCTTCCTCATTTGCTTCTCTTACTCACTTCTTCCTCCTCTTCTTCCTCTTCCTCATTTCCTTCTCTTACTTCTTCCTCCTCCTCCTCCTCATTTCCTTCTCTTACTTCTTCCTCCTCTTCCTCCTTTCCTTCTCTTACTTCTTCCTCCTCTTCCTCCTTTCCTTCTCTTACTTCTTCCTCCTCTTCCTCCTCTTACTCCCCTCCTCCTCTTCCTCATTTCCTTCTCTTACTCACTTCATCCACTTCTTCATTTCCTACTATTCTTCATTTCCTTTTCTTTCTCAATTCCTCCTATTCCTCTTTTTCCCTGTCTTCCTTATTTCCTCCATGTTCTTTCCTCTCGTTCTGCCTCTTCATCTTATTTCCTATTCACCATTTCTGATTTGTATTAATTCTTGTCACTTCCATGAGTACGCTTTCATACCAGTGAAGAGCTCTTCATCCGAGGAGTTGAAGCTACTCTCTCCCTTGACTTGATTTATTATTACCTCCCTCCTCCAATGTACCAGGTGCTGTACAACCCCTACTGATTTTGAGCTCCCCATCAACATAACACCACCTTTAACTCTTAACCCTTAAACTGCCCAAACATAGACCTATGTTTACATACATCACACTCTGACCTTGATTTTCTCCATTTGAAAGCATGTAAAAAAAAAAAAGTACATCTACATTTGGAGCGCTGCGTGAGCGAACTCAGATCTATGTTTGGACAGTTTAAGGGTTAACCCTAAATGTAGATCTACGTTCGATTTTACGTGCTTTGTGTAAAAAAAAAAAGTAGATCTACGTTCGGAGTGCTACGTGAGTGAACATAGATCTACGTTCGCATGCGTTGTGCTCCAAATGTAGAGCTATGTTGTTTTTACATAAGAAAGCATGTAAAATCAGACGTAGATCTACGACCGTAGAGCTACACACGTGAACATAGACCTACGTTTGGACAGTTTAAGGGTTAATAATATAATTAAATGATAATGTAATAATAAAATAATAATAATATACTAATATAATACAGCCGGGCCCCCTGATTATATGGCAGAGATTAGGTTCCTGGCTGCTGCTGTAAACTGAATTGCCTTTTTTCGCTTTATAATGCATATTAAAGTTTGATAACATGTTTACACTATCATATATTAATTAAGCAATAGAGCCAGGCCTTAAAAAAAATATGACAGTAAAATGAATGTACATAATATTTTGTAAATTTGCACTCAAAGTAAGAAGAGCCTTACAACTCCGCTTTTTATCACAACTACCCTTAGATGCCATTTTAACACAAAATTGGTGTATAATACAGCCTCTCCTCACTTAGTGATGGAGTTTGGTTCTTAAGACCACGTTGGTAAATGAATTCGTCGCTAAGTGAGGAGCATACTATAATGGTAGTGGGTTTGTGTCATCTATCTTTGATATTGTTTTATTATCACCTTTACACCTTTTATAACATTTCTGGTATGATATTTTTAAATGTTTATACAGTAGTGTACTGTACTATATTGTAATAAACAGAATAGAGGAAATCAGCTCTAACATGCATTATTTAGGTATGCATACTGGTCAGAGAACCTGTCATAAGTCCGAATTGTCAGTAAACAAGTACATCTACCATCCGACTTACGACCTGGTTGGCATACAACCACTCAATTTATAACCACATTTTGTATGCCAAATTTCTGGGAAATAAACAACTGTTTGTGTTGTACACGTACACAGTGTTTATCCTAAACCTTACAGTATAAAATACAGTACTAACAGCAGAAAAAGTAAAGTAAAAAATGAAATACCAAAATAAAACAATAAATAAAGCCATTACAAAAATGTGATGTTGATATTCAGTATGTACCTCTGTAATCTTTTGACTCCCACCCACAGGATGGGTATGGGGTGCATCATAAAGATATTAAACTAACTGATATTCAGTAGTAAGGTTTGACTTTCTTCCATTTTGACTTATGACCGGTCGGTTGGAACCAAGCTCAGTTGTAAGTCGAATGGTACCTGTACATTGCTAAGTGAGGAGAGGCTGTATACGCAATAACTTTAAAGCACTTGAAACTTTGTAAAAGTTTCCTGACAGAATCCAAAGAGACACGGAGCTCATGGAGGGCATAAACAGAGAAAATGGTGCGTGGATGCCCAGCTGCCATAATAGTGAAGTAGGTGCCATATATTTGAATAATTGGGTATAATTGAAAACTGCTGTGCTAGCAAATCACTAAGAAGCAAAGTGCCATAAACCGGGGCCTGCCTGTAATAATAAAATAATATTATTATTATAAAATAATATAATACAGTAATGATAACAATAATAATAATAATCATATTTTATTTTATATTTTATTTTTATTTTGTTTTATAATTATTATTATTTTTTATTATTATCACACTGGCCGATTCCCACCAAGGCAGGGTGGCCCGAAAAAGAAAAACTTTCACCATCATTCACTCCATCACTGTCTTGCCAGAAGGGTGCTTTACACTACAGTTTTTAAACTGCAACATTAACACCCCTCCTTCAGAGTGCAGGCACTGTACTTCCCATCTCCAGGACTCAAGTCCGGCCTGCCGGTTTCCCTGAACCCCTTCATAAATGTTACTTTGCTCACACTCCAACAGCACGTCAAGTTTTAAAAACCATTTGTCTCCATTCACTCCTATCAAACACGCTCACGCATGCCTGCTGGAAGTCCAAGCCCCTCGCACACAAAACCTCCTTTACCCCCTCCCTCCAACCTTTCCTAGGCCGACCCCTACCCCGCCTTCCTTCCACTACAGACTGATACACTCTTGAAGTCACTCTGTTTCGCTCCATTCTCTCTACATGCCCGATCCACCTCAACAACCCTTCCTCAGCCCTCTGGACAACAGTTTTGGTAATCCTGCACCTCCTCCTAACTTCCAAACTACGAATTCTCTGCATTATATTCACACCACACATTGCCCTCAGACATGACATCTCCACTGCCTCCAGCCTTCTCCTCGCTGCAACATTCATCACCCATGCTTCACACCCATATAAGAGCGTTGGTAAAACTATACTCTCATACATTCCCCTCTTTGCCTCCAAGGACAAAGTTCTTTGTCTCCACAGACTCCTAAGTGCACCACTCACTCTTTTCCCCTCATCAATTCTATAATTCACCTCATCTTTCATAGACCCATCCGCTGACACGTCCACTCCCAAATATCTGAATACATTCACCTCCTCCATACTCTCTCCCTCCAATCTGATATCCAATCTTTCATCACCTAATCTTTTTGTTATCCTCATAACCCTACTCTTTCCTGTATTCACTTTTAATTTTCTTCTTTTGCACACCCTACCAAATTCATCCACCAATCTCTGCAACTTCTCTTCAGAATCTCCCAAGAGCATAGTGTCATCAGCAAAGAGCAACTGTGACAACTCCCACTTTGTGTGATTCTTAATCTTTTAACTCCACGCTTCTTGCCAAGACCCTCGCATTTACTTCTCTAACAACCCCATCTATAAATGTATTAAACAACCATGGTGACATCACACATCCTTGTCTAAGGCCTACTTTTACTGGGAAATAATTTCCCTCTTTCCTACATACTCTAACTTGAGCCTCACTATCCTCGTAAAAACTCTTCACTGCTTTCAGTAACCTACCTCCTACACCATACACCTGCAACATCTGCCATATTGCCCCCCTATCCACCCTGTCATACGCCTTTTCCAAATCCATAAATGCCACAAAGACCTCTTTAGCCAGGTGTTTCACTATAAACACCTGGTCCACACACCCCCTACCTTTCCTAAAGCCTCCTTGTTCATCTGCTATCCTATTCTCCATCTTACTCTTAATTCTTTCAATAATAACTCTACCATGCACTTTACCAGGTATACTCAACAGACTTATCCCCCTATAATTTTTGCACTCTCTTTTGTCCCCTTTGCCTTTATACAAAGGAATTATGCATGCTCTCTGCCAATCCCTAGGGACCTTACCCTCTTCCATACATTATTAAATAATTGCACCAACCACTCCAAAACTATATCCTCACCTGCTTTTAACATTTCTATCTTTATCCCATCAATCCCGGCTGCCTTACCCCCTTTCATTTTACCTACTGCCTCACGAACTTCCCCCACACTCACAACTGGCTCTTCCTCACTCCTACAAGATGTTATTCCTCCTTGCCCTATACACGAAATCACAGCTTCCCTATCTTCATCAACATTTAACAATTCCTCAAAATATTCCCTCCATCTTCCCAATACCTCTAATTCTCCATTTAATAACTACTCTCTTCTATTTTTAACTGACAAATCAATTTGTTCTCTAGGCTTCCTTAACTTGTTTTATAATATAAAATAATAATTTAATAATAATGTGTTTCAGATTGGTTGGGTGTCCACCATTCTGGCACAGAAAACAGATGGTGATGCTGCGTAATATTATGGAGGGCAAGTACTCCTTCCAGTCTCCAGAGTGGGAGGATATTACTGGTAAGAGTTTGTCTCTGTTATATACCCCATACACTATTATGTGAGAGGTAGCCACATATACATTATCATGTGGGAGTTAGTCACCCATACACTTGTCACTAGTATGGAACACATGCAAACAGAGACTGTTACTAGACATGAATGGTTAGCTTGAGTCACACTGAAAGGTCACTGATGCTGACCTCTAGTTTCAAACACTTGCCTCAGGGCTTACCTCAGGCAGCATGTAGGAGTCATGCTGAAAGGTATGCTGGCAGACAACTTGAACATTTCTACCATTTAACTCTAAGCAGAGCAGTTGTGCCTTATTTCAAACACAATCACTACATTTGAAGACACTACACTATTATTTGAGAAGTAGTAACCCCATTCACTATTATATGGGAGATAGTCACCCATACACTATCATGTGGGAGGTGATCACCTTTACACATCATGTGGGAGGTAGCCAAAAAGTTACAGAGGATCTAATGGGTTTAGAGAGTGGGCATCAGTGTAATAGTAGCAGTAATAATGAACTGATTATTAACTGCAGTAGTAATGAGTTTAGTTATGACAGTTAAGGGGTTAATGTGCGTTAAAACACATTAACCCCTTAACTGTCAAACGTAGATCTACGTTCACTCACCCAGCGCTCTGAATATTTTGAAAAGAAATTTTTTTTTTTATATGAAGAAGACTTTTTTTTACATAAAGTAATATAAAAAATTCTAGAGTCAATACTTATGGAGATATAAGGTCGCAAAGTTGGCACTTGTCGCTCATTTGACGGCAACAGGAAGCACTGCCACTTCCAGAAGTGTTTCTGACATACCATTTTTTCTCATTTTTTTTTTAATTTGTATAATTTTTTATGTTCTGATAATTACAATTTGTAGTAGTTCTTGTGATTTTGTAGTTAGTCTTTGTCCTGATACTAATATTAGGTACTCAAATAGTACTCATATAGTCACAGACACACTGACAGGTGAGCATTTTCACCTACCTTAGTCACATACTGTTATCTAGAAATATGTACACCTACCATCCGACTTACGACCGAGTTCGGTTCCGAGAAACCGGTCGTAAGTTGAAATGGTCGTAAATCGAACTTTACTACTGACTATCAACAAAACATTTTTGTAATGACTTTATTTTATTGTTTTATTTTGGTATTTCATGTTTTACTTTACTTTTTATGTTATTAGTACTGTATTTTATACTGTAAGGTTTAGGATAAACACTGTGTACAACACAAATAGTTGTTTATTTCCCAGAAATTTGGCATAAAAAACACGGCGTAAGTCGAGTGGTCGTAAGTCGAGCAGGTCGTAAGTCGGATGGTAGGTGTACATACAGTGGTACCCCGAGTTTCGAGCTTAATCTGTTCCAGGAGCTCGTTCTACAGTCGAAACTCAAAGCAATATTTCCCATAAGAAATACTGTACTGTAAATATAATTAATCTGTTCCAGAAACCCAAAAATATTCACAAAAAAATACATTTTATAGAGATTAATTATAGTTTTGCATATACACAACAAACATGCATAGTACAATTAGTAATAGATAAATAAACTTAAATAAACATACAAAATAACATTTTTACTTATCTTTATTGAAGACTGTTGATGGCATCTGGAAGATAGGGAGGAGTGAGGGAGGCTTGGTGTTTGGAGTGGGAATCCCCTTCCATAAAGACTTTAGGTAACAAGTCCTTTTCTGGGGTTACTTCCCTTCTTTGTCTTTTAATGCTGCTAGGACCAGCTTGAGAGTCACTGGATCTGTCTAACAAAATAACTGTCCTCAGTCCTCTGTTTCTGGCGCCTCTTTGAGATGTCCCTGAAGTGGGACATGGTTCTCTCACTGAACTTTTTGCAGAGATGGCTTGTTTCAGCTTGCTCAGGGTGGTACTTCTCCATAAACCTTTGCACATCATTCCACTTTGCATAAATCTCCTTAATCTGTAAAGAAGGTACCTCATCCACTCCCTCTTCCTCCTCTTCTGAAGCAAGTTCCTGAGCTGTGGTCTGATACTGTTTCAAATGAAGCTCTTGCAGCTCTTCAGTGGTTAGCTCTTCCCTATGGTCCTGTGCCAACTCTTCCACATCCTCACTACTCACCTCTAACCCCAGGGAGTTTCCCAATGCCACAATACCTTCCACAACAGGCAGAGGGTCGGCAGGGTCAAGGTCAGCCTCAAATACTTCAAAATCCCTCTGTTGGACACAATCTGGCCACAATTGTCTCCAAGCAGACTTCAAAGTCCTGGAAGTCACTCCCTCCTAAGCCTTACCTATAAGGCTTATGCAGTTGTAGATATTGAAGTGATTCCTCCAGAACTCTCTTAGGGTCAACTGAGTGTCTGAGGTCACTTCAAAGCACTTTTCAAACACTGCTTTTGTGTAGAGTTTTTTTAAGTTAAAAATGACCTGCTGGTCCATGGGCTGGAGGAGAGGAGTGGTGTTAGGAGGCAAGAACTTCACTGTGATGAAACTGAAGTTCCTAGACAGTAGGTCTACCAAGTTTGGAGGATGTGCCGGAGCATTGCCCAGTAACAGGAGGCACTTGTGTGGCAATTTATTTTCCAGGAGATATTTTTTCACACTCTTAATGACCTACTCTTTGAAAATTTGCCTTGTGACCCATGCTCCATTATTAGCTTTCCACAACACACAATCTATTCTTGACAACATTGTTTTTCTGGAACACTCTGGGATTTTCTGAGTGATACACCAGTAAAGGCTTCACTTTAAAATCCCCACTAGCATTAGCACAAAACAAGAGAGTTAACCTGTCTTTCATAGGCTTGTGTCCTAACAGTGCCTTTTCCTCCTGTATTATGTAGGTCCTCTTTGGCATTTTCTTCCAAAACAGGCCTGTTTCATCACAGCTGAACTCGTGTTTGGGTTTGAATTTTTCAGTCTTTACATACTCCCAAAATTCAGTTATGAATGTTTCAGCTCCACGTTTGTCTGAACTGGCAGCCTCCCCATGGCTTACCACACTGTGTATGCCACTACACTTCTTAAATCTGACAAATCAGCCTCTGCTGGCCTTAAAGTCACTAATAGCAGCACTCGTTGCAGGCCTTTTCTTTATGAGATTGTCATGCAGTTGTCTTGCCATTTCACAAATGATCATCTCTGAAACACTATCACCCGCTATCTCTTTATCCTTGATCCACATAATCAACAACTTCTCAACCTCTTCTGCTATTTTTGGTTAGCATATCAACACTTTTTGCAACATCAGCTTCCTTGATTTCTTTTCTCTTTGCCAGGATAGAAGTGATTGTTGATTTGTTTTTGCCATATATCCTGGCAAGCTCCATAAGTCACACACCACTCTCATATTTTTGTACCATTTCCTTCTTCACATCTATGGTGTTTCTCACTTTCTTTACCACAGGGGTGCCACTAGCAAGTTTCTTTGGGCCCATGGTAGCTTATTTCACAGTTGCACGAGCACCGAGCACAATTTATAGTGAAATTTGAATGAGTGCACAGGTTAGTGTTCACTCAAGCATAAACAAAGCCAGACTGGCTCATGATGCCTGTGCGGGGGACGCGGGCAAGCGGACAGGTCTGGTGCACAGTTCGAAACACGGGGCAAGTTCGATACTCGGGACAAAATTGATGCAAAAAAAATCAGTCAAAACTCAAAGCGTTCAATAGTTGATGCGTTCGAAACTCGGGATTCCATTGTAGTGTTTATAGGTTCCAGCAATGTTTTGGATACGTGGGAGTATATAATAATAATAAGTTCCCTTGAAGCATGATGTAAGATGTGTGTCACTCCACTACTGACAAGAGACCACAACTGAGAAAATTGCTTCAGAGGAGGAGAGAGAGAGATGGAGGAAGTTGCCTTCTTCAACGATTAAGGACATTTGTACAATGTGGACAAAGGTGCAAGCCTTTATGGATGAGCATCACCCTGACACAACTATTGCAAGCCATGCTGGTGACTTTTACAGTGACAATGTTGTGGCCCATTTTAGGAAAATCTTTAAGGAACGCGAGGTACAGAGGTCCAGCGACTGTCAAGTTGTTCCCAGTAGCATTAAAAAAAAAAAGGGAAGTAACCCCAGAAAAAAATTGTTACCTCAAGTCCTTATGGAAGGGGATTCCCCTTCCAAACAATAATACACCTCCATCATCTCCCCTCCCATTTCATCACTCATCAATAATTCTTCAATAAATCATCACTCATCAATAAATCTTCAATAAAAGTAGGTGTCATTTATTTTCATGTAGTATTTATTCTTCAAGTATCATTGTTTTCTGTGTAGGAAATTGTATATTTCATGTGAAAAAAAAAAATTTAATACTTTTGGGTGTCTGGAACAGATTAATTGGATTTCCATTATTTCTTATGGGAAAAATTAATTTGGCTAACAATAAAATCGGTTAAGGACAAGCTCTCTGGAATGGATTAAAATTGTTACCCAAGGGTCCACTGTACTCATAATGCCTTGCCAATAGCCACTCAGTTATCACCATCTCATTTGATCTTGAGAAGGCATATGACACAACTTGGAAGTATGACATCTTGGCCCAAGCTCACTCCTTAGGCCTTCAAGGCAATCTGCCATTTTTCCTTAAGAACTTCTTATCTGAGAGACATTTCTGTTAATGATCTGCTTTCCTCGGACTGTGTCCAAGTTGAAGGTGTCCACCCAGGGATGTGTCCTGAGCACCACACTTGCTATAAATGATCTGGCATATGTTTTTCCATCTAATATTTGGTCATCACTCTATGTTGATGACTTCGCTGTAGCTTGTGCAGGTGCTGACTGTCACCTCGTTGTAGTTTTTCTCCAGAATACTGTCAACCATGTTTCCAGTTGGGCCACTACTCATGGGTTTAAATTTTCTGGTACTAAAACCCACCAAATCACTTTCACCAGACGTTCTATCGTCCCTGATAATCCATTGTACCTGTATGGCTCATGTATCCCTGAACGTGATACAATCAGGTTTCTTGGCCTTCTGTTTGACCATTGGTTATCCTGGAAGCC